ATTGAATGCGAAAACAGATAGTGAAAATACTAGGATTACTTGGAATCAATTGGCTGCAAATCAATCGAGTTATTCTGGGTTAGTAGCCCACAAGGTACTACCTAATGCGCACGTGTATAAGTTATTCCGGGTAATTACGATCCACAAGGTACTACCTACTACGCATTTCATATGACTTAAGAAACTCATGAATCTGTACTAGGGCCAAACCCTAGCCATCAAATAGACATAATCCTTACAAGCCTCCCTAAATCAATAAGTTAAAAACTCATGCAAAATCAATAAGTTAGACCAAACTTATACAAGCTCAAACAATATATATGAATCAATTTACATGCACAAGTAAGGTTTAATCTACACAAACCATGTCCTAGAGTTCAAGTCTATAATGACATTCACAATGTCGAATCTTCAGTGTGTGATTCGTTACACGCTATGACAATTTCATTTCAATATCAAAAATGTAATCTCATCCAAACGATCCATAATTCAAATATGTTAAACAACGTAGTATGGTCATTACACAACCAACCCAAAACTAAATTAGGTCATCAAAACAACAAAATATAGTTTAATTGAAACACGGTAATTAAATCTCTAGATTTTCTAAAATAACCCCAAATGGGCCCAAATTAATATATACAAGTGAATAAGTCCAAGTTAGTACCATTATCAAGTTAAAAGCTCAATTAAACTAATTGAACCATTAATTAGATTTTAATTAATTCAATTAATTCAAAATCTCTAGATTTCTAAACTTATCCAAATGCTCTCAATTTAACATAGGTTAGAGAACATGCCAAGGCCTATTTTAATATCACATTACAAGTTGATTTCATACTTGTTTCAACTATGTGAATTAAACTTTCATGAAAGATAAATATTAAATAAAATTTGCAATTCTTATTCAAATTTCCCAAAATTAATATATGTTAACAAACATATCAAGGCTTAATTTCCTAGCATGCCATAATTCAATTCTAAGCTACATACATACATTAGAATTAAATTTTATACAAGAAAATAATTAAATTAAATTATAGGATTTGAACAAAAACATGCATACAAGTTGTATAAGTTCATAAAACAATCAATACAACTCAAATATGAAACTATAATATCCCCTACCTCAATTTGAGATGAAAATCTCAAATCCCCACCGAAATGAAACCGCTCCGAATTCGACGAAACTACGGAGTTTTGTCAAGGATAACACGGTGAACAAGAATCCTAAGGAAGCCCCATCAAAATCATAATTTGACTTTAAACTCGAATTCAAAAAATGGCCAAAATGAGAATCCAATCGGTGGAATGCCTTACCAAGGCGAACATAAAATACTAAGGCACTACGACATTTCACTGAAGAGAAGAAGCTCAAAAGATGAGAGAGAATGTGGCAGCCCTTAGCTGCAATGGAATCCGGCCAAGAGAGGGGAGAGAAAGAGAGAAAAAAAACTGATTTTTCAATTTAAAACCCCCTATTTATTATATATATATAACTCAAAAAGTGCCCTGAACGAGTCTCGCCGGGTCCGAAAAAGTGAAATTCGCCAAGACGCACTCAAACGGCAAAACTCTGTGAACGAGAAAGAACTGAAATGAGAAAAAATGAATAACGGAAGAAACAACGTCAAAAACTGAGTCCCGAGCAGAGAGATATGTCCCAAACAAGTTTTGCGCTAATCGGGGCCTAAAATCTGAAAATTGCAGGGTTCGACCGCAAGACAATTCTAAGAGTACACAATTCGACGAAATGTGAAAATAAATCCCGTACGAGAATTCAAGCCCCAAGAAGATACTTAGCAGTTAACTTTCATTAATTGCACAAAGACCCTTACACAAATGGATAACTGCACAAGTGACCCCAAAAGATATTTTCTTAGAAACTCCTAAGTCAAAATATCTTCAAAATATATTTATGAAAAATACCCCAAGAAACAAAAATGTTTTTGAAAAATCTTTTCATCCACGCCCCTACGGGAAAAAGAGATGACTGGCAAACTTTCCTCCAAAACTAAAGCTACATCATTCAAGGAAACCAATAAGAATGGAAGCACGGGGGGTCAAAAACCAACTCCGTGCACGAAGAATAAGGTTACGCGAAGGAAAATTTCAATGAAAAAAAATTAATCCGTATAAATGGAGAAAAAGGAAATGAAGGAAAATGACCGGGTCATTACAAGGCAGTAACTAAAATTTCAAACATATATTTCCCAAGCAACACCAAAGAGTTGCCATAATTAAAGCTTTTAGTTATAGGGTGACGCGTCAGGGCAAACATTTGTCTTTTTTTATTTTTTCTTTTTAAATCTACCCACCTATCTTTTCCTTTTGGTCTTAAGAAGGAAAACAAGTAGAGCTAAATTATGACCTTTAGTAACATACTAAGTCAAAGTGACAAATATTAATATAGTAGAACAATCGTTGTGGATATTTTATGGTGAACCACGGCTATTAGTTGATGCAGAAAGTCGAAACCTGATACTTTGAAATTCACAAAAGACACTAACCACTGGGCTATCGAGGCATTTGTCAGGCTCGTTATAGTTGACGAGTTGATGACGAACTCCATTATTTATTTATTTATTTTAAAACAATACGTATGCAAATGAAAACAATAAAAGTAGTTAGTCTAATAGTACCATACATGTTGACTGAACTTGCCACAAGTGACTAATGTCAATCAAATGCCAATCATAAAAAAGTGGCCATCCAATGAGCTGGTAGCCATTAGACGGAATAATCTTAATTAATAACTTTCGCATCCCTTTCTTAATGGGACACATTAGCTTTCCTCATGCATAGCTTAGAGCTCGATCTTTTTGCTCATTTTGTTTGCAGTTTGCACCAAGAATGATGCCATAATTTTACAAGGTAGTCTTAGAATTGATATTAGTATAATGCTAAAAAAGTAAATTATGCATGTGCACGACACTAACGAATTTTAAAATCAAAATATGTCTACACAACATATAAGGGTCATTAACTTCTCCTTCATCACACACCCATCTTAACCACTTTTGGAATACACTCTCTTACCTTTTTTCAAGACTTGCCCAATTGTGTAGATGTTGTTCACTTTGCTAACCCTTCCTACTCATATTTTAGTTTTCAAAACAAGTCTACATATTTTAAAGATATACATACATATAAGTATCGGCAAATTCTCACCTTAGGCCATGTGAGACGACGTCTTATCTATCATTATACAAAATTTTCCTCTTATTTATTAAAGTATACTAAATTTTCCTATTTCCATCCAAACCCCTTAATGGAAGTATGCAAAATTTATTATTTTATCTATGAAATCTAAATATATTTTTAATTGGATAAAATAATTTTACAAGAGCAAAATTGATATTTTGAAATTGTTGATTAACCAAAATTGTCATAGGGATGAGAGGACTGATGCAGAATATAGTTAATATAATTTGTCGAATAAATAAAAAAAGAAAAAAGAAAAAAGATATAATGTTCAACCTTACAATAGTCATTGGTGTCAAGTTCTTCACTGTTACTCTTAATAAATACAATAAGAATATGTGGGCCCACCAAGCCAAATTTCCTAAATAATTTAAAAGTGCCAATGTGAAAAAGATTCAAATTTTCGAACTATTGATTCCCCAATTTCTCAATACCTGTAGCTAATCAAAATCATAAGCAATTTAATAACACGGCACTCATTCCCCACCATAGAATATAAAATGGCATTGCACTGATCTACGGCCGAAAATTCAGACACCATCAATGTACGCGTAGCGATCTCCCAATGTGGGGCCACCCGCTCGAGGACGTGAGGAGCAAATAATACCTCTGTTCGAGAGTGACACTACAAGGAAAAAAAAAAAAACAAAAGAAAAGAAAAAAAAGAATGTCACACTAGTGAATAGTATCCTTCTATTTTGAAAGGCATCACTAGATTACCACAAAGTTTTTGATTTGGTTGGTTAAAATTTCTTGTTTTTAAAAACATTTTGTTTTTAAAATCATAGAAATGAAAACTATAAAACGATTCAAACAGTAATTTGGTTGGAAATTTCTTAAAATTGTCTCATGATAATTGAATTTAAGAAATATTACATATATCATAAATAAATTTTTTTAATTAATTTTCAAAATTGTTAAAAGTTCATTTTACAATTTTTTCTATATTTGATATATAATCTATATTCTCTATCTATTAATTTAATTAATATGGAAGAATCTATATTAATTAATTTTCAAGTTTTAGTTAACTAATATGGAAGAATCTATTGCATAATGAGTTTAATTAATAATTATTTTGATAAGTAGTCTTCATCTATAAAGTTTGTCAATAAGAAAAGTATGACACAAATCCCTAGTCAATATCTCGCTCTCTCTCCCTTTTACCGATCTAGCATTGACTTGATCCTTGAAGCCCTTAGGTTGGTACTACACCGTACGTCACTTCGAGTCGCTGCAAAATCTTGCATCAACAATTTTTATTTAAATTCAATTAAAAAAAATAGTGTAAAATACACGATTTTCGTAAAAAGAAAAAGAAAAAAAAAGAAAATGTATATTTATATTCAAATTCTATGTCTAATTTTGTAAGAGTATGTACCGTATATATATGAAAGTTTGAGTCGAAATTTTATACTCCTAATTTAGTAAGAGTAATAAATGGAAGATTTTAGTTATTGAGGACTTGAATGAAAAAATATATCAAAAGCAGGACATAAAATGACAAATTACATAAATAAAAAATAAAGATTATGATTTATTTGTCTTTTAATATGATTAAAAAAAGATTATGATTTATTTGTCTTTTATTATGAAATGTAAAAGTCGATAATAATTTTCCCTAAAAATTGCTATAATGCAAACCCTCAACCTCACACGCGCGTGTACTCTAGTACATAGGCTTACCAAAACAATACCGTAGAAGTAGTAGAAGTACAAGTACACATACTAAACTATACTTGAAATAAAATACAGTAGTAGCTACGAAGCTTTTGAAAGTCGCCACCGGGCTCTTTCTTTTCAAAAGTTTCAAAATCATTTCGTTTTGAAAAGGCTCCAAAAGCTAATCTCAACAACCCAAACCCTCCATTCCATTACACCCTATCTCAAGAACCTCCCCAAAAGCTTTATTCTAAAATCTTTCCCCCCAATCCCTCTCTCTCTAAAACAACAATCTGTTTCTCTCTCTTGTTTTTTCTGGTCAATTTTTTTTGTTTGATGTACGGCCGGCAGAGATGTATAGGTTTTAAAAATTACTTAGATTGTGACTTCAATTTGTGAGAGATCGACTTACTTAGAGAGAATCACAATCCTCATTGGACGATTAGGTAGAGAGAGAAAGAAGAAAGATGAACGCAGTGGGACGGCAAATGCAGAGATCTGGTTCAACCGGACACCATCAGCGTCAGTTCTCCGATAATTTCATAGATACAGCGTTCAATAACAAATGGCTTCAATCTGCCGGTCTCCATCAACTCCATTCCTCAAACCATAATACAGTTCCTCCTCTACAGGTTCCCATTAACCGTTTGCTTATATATTTAATTAACTTTATATATATGAATGTTTTGTTCTTAATATTTGGATGCTTTATTAGGATTCTCGATTTAATTGATTACAGGACTTCGGTTTTTATGATAACAATGGAGGAGTTCAGGGTAATAGATTGAACAGGGATGTGCAGAGGAGTGTTATTGGAGGAGGAGGAGATGAGGTGTCGACGGATCCTTTGTCTCCGTTGGGTTGTTCGCGGTCGTCGAGCATGAGGAAGACCGCCAGTGGTGAACAAGTATCCCCAAGTGCCCTCAGTTCTGGGTTACTCGATCTGCATTCATTTGATACTGAGCTGTTACCGGAGGTTTGTTTACTTTTTGACTTTTCAATTCGAATTGATTTGTTTGGATGTTGTCTCTTTGACCTGCATTGTTCATTTTAAATTGAGCCCTGACTTAAATTTGGTATCTTTTAGGTTTAAAGTAGAATTCAAATGTTATCTCTGCCAATATGAAATATAATGTGTTAACTGATGATATCTGAATTCATCTATTTGCAAACTTTCAGAAGAAAAAGAGTCTCATGTTAGTTTAAAAGAAATATGGTTGCTTAATTAATGGATTACTTTTCTGAAACAACTTTTTTTTTTTTTTTTTTTCCTGAATTAGGCACATTCTTACTAGCATTTTGGAAGTTCTTATTTTGCTATCCAGAGCAAAATTTGTGTTTCTTGTTAGAGAAAAATTTATCTTTTATCTATTGCATATATAGTGCAGCGCGAGCTACACAAAGGGATGGCTCTCCCCCAACCCCATCTCCCTTTAACAGGACTTGAACTTGTCAGTCAATGAATAAATTGGAAGGGCTTGCATGGGTGATTGAATAGCTTATCAGTCACTGAATAAACAGCTTTTTACAATATATTTTTTATTCTCTTGAATTCATATCTCATATTTTATATGCCTTCTTTTGCCACTAGTTATAAACTTACATATACATACATATATGTTCATGGGTTGTTGCATGGTGAATTAGTTTGAACTTGGAAGGGCTGACTGTCATTATATATTGTTGCGCTGATGGTATTGTACAAACTGTTTGGCATTTTGCAGGTTTCTAGCATATACAATGGATCTTCATTTAATCGACCTCTTCCTGGGAAAACTTATGATAATTCTGAGCCATATGCCTCTACCAATAAACTTAATTATCTTATTGGTGGTTTGCCTGAGAACAACCTTCTGAAAAGCTTTTCTGCAGATAAAGAAAAGCCCAGTAATGTTGCGAAGATCAAAGTTGTGGTATGAATCTTGCTACTGTACCTACATTTCTCGTATTCTTTACTGTGTTGATTAAGAAGTGGACATTCGATTCCAAAAATGGATTGCAGTGTCAACCAGAGCTTGCAAGTTATAACTGAAAACCTCAAATCACGTTCCACAAACCCTGACTCTCGGGAAAAAAAAAGAAAAGAGTTTCAAACTAGAGTGCCCTCTATCAAATAGCTTCTCCATTACACTAAAGTTTTTACTTGTGCTATAATCTGTGTTGTTCTATGCTTCTAAAAATTTTGATTGCAGGTTCGCAAGAGGCCTCTTAATAGAAAAGAAATAGCAAAGAAAGAGGAAGACATTATTACCATAAACCCAAATACTAATTCACTCACTGTTCATGAAACAAAACTCAAGGTGAGCACCTGATGGGTTGGTTATCTTAACTGTAATTGCTATTGTTATAGATCTTAATACTCAGTTCTGATTTTAACTTTTGGCTTGTTTGTCTGTCCCATGGAGTGGTAAACAGCAAAAGCAGCTGTTGCTTTTACCATATCTCTAATTTCCCTTAAAATGTTACTTGTCATCATCATTTATTTATGATGTTGGAATTTATGACCTTGCAGTTGCTCTTATGATTGTTGTTGCTTCTGTTATTATGTAATGATACTATTATGATATTTTATTGGTATTATTTGATTGAGTTAGACAAAATATTGTTTCATAATGCGGGGAAGAATGCCTTCTTAAGATATATGATGCATGGATGTTTGGTAAGGCAAGGAAGGACAATATGTAAAAACGAATACATTTCCAAGATGATGGACGTTGCACTAGTGGAGATAAAATTCAAAAAAGAAATGATGAAGATTGTTTGACTACGTGCAAAAAGAACCAATAATTCATTGATAAGTAAGGATGCCATGGTTCACATTAGGGTAATGTTAGGGAAATAGAAAGACCAAAAATAACATGAGTGGGATAGTTATGAATCATGACAGTAGATTAGTTGAAATTATGGTCGTAAGTGGAGTTAGAATGGTGAAACAAGAATGATGCAGCTTTAGTCCATTGCACTGTCAGTTGGAAATCCACATGCAGTTTTTTTAGAGTTGTTATTTTGGCGTGAAACCTCCTATGGAATCTGTAATGTGTTTGAGAAGTTGGTCACTTCTGCTTTTACAATTTTTCTTGATAAGTATTTGATGAATTATTAAGAGCTATATAAGAAAATAACCATGTCTTAACACTACACTTTTTGTGTTATTGTTAATAACATTATTTAGCAGTTCATTGGCTTCAGTGAGTAAGTAGAATCACCCACTTTCTTTTAAGTCAATTAGATGACTACAACATAACATGCGTTCTGATGGGATTTATGCATACAATGAGTGCAAGTTTTTGAACCACGAAAATTGATTGAGATTCATATAAAATCAGTGATCACCATTAGGAGTGACCATTGCTTCCATGTTGATAGAGGCAGACCATGACTGTAATACTGGATGCAAAACCACAAAGAAAATCAGGTATAAAATGATGTTATTGATGAATATTATTTTATGTGAAAGTAAAACTATTTAGCAGCTTAATTTGTTTTAGGCTGCAATGAAAGAGGGAAGAAGCCTTTAAGCTAAGTAGTAATGAGTAACAGATAATATTTTTTATTTCTTCCTCATTCTTGTACAAAGGCATTTGAGCAACCTTTGGTTAATACCTATGGTTAACATCTATGTTTGTTCTCAGCTTACATCTTCTCTAATGGCATTGAAGTATATGATTGGATGTGATGTTCAAAGTGTTTTCCTAGAATCTAATTTACCACCTTTTGCAGGTTGACCTAACTGAATACGTCGAGAAACATGAATTTGTTTTTGATGCAGCGTTGGACGGAGATGTTTCAAATGATGATGTGAGTATGAGAAGATTTGGTTACCATTTCAATGATATCTCAGCTTATTATATTGTCTCTCTTATTTTACTGCTATAGGTGTACTCAGAGACTGTGGAGCCCATAGTTCCAATAATTTTTCAACGAACAAAGGCAACCTGCTTTGCATATGGACAGACAGGCAAGTGGTTTGACTTTTTTGGTTTTTTCCTATGTGGTTCCAATAAGAACTTAATTTTCAACCGTTCTAAGATACAATCTGATGGGACCTGCACCCCTCATCTTCTGCATGGTAACACAATCATCCATATACTTGAGCTACTAGGTGGTAGAAACATGGTTTGGGTCTGCTGAATTTGAAAATTTTATGTAGGTGATTTAATGTGCTTACTGATGTAGAGTTCACAATGAGGATGATTCTCTCCTAGTAGATTAGAAAATTTATTTGTGTTTACAAATTTAATTTCCTTGGATTTGCTATTTATCTTCCTCTTTCACATGTTTGTTTGGACATGCCCTTTGATGGTTCAGGATTTATTCAGTTAAAGAGTTTATAAGTTCTGGAAGAGTTCTTTCTTTTTTTTCTTCCCCCCACCCCAAAGATTAAAAAAAAATAACTAAGTAAATTTGTTGTTAGGATTTACATGAAGACAAAAACAACTTTATCAACTAGAATCTAGATTATGCTGAACCTAATAATTAATGCCTTCCTTCCTCGAACTCGAGATAACAAACTCTACTAACTTCAGCATGCCTAATTTGCTTTGGTTGGTTTCACCATCTGTAGTCATAAGAGTGCCTTTTTAGAAGAACGATATGGTCAGGTATATATTGCCATGGGAGATTTGCCATTTATCTATTGGTTTCTGTCATGATGGGCATTCATGCCTATGCATCCATTCCAGCAGAAGCCTTTGATCTTTAACTAATTTTTTGTTAAGTACACTGTACATGACATGTAATTCAGTACTTAATAAATTTATTTGGCAAGAATATTCCTAAATGATTGTTGTTCTTCTAACTCATTTTATGTATTTCAGTCATATTTGATCTGAAAATATTAAAAAAAAAAATCTACCTCTTTTTTGCCTTTTCTGATGGCTACCAGAGGATTTTCATTGTCATTTCTATGCAATATCAATACTTACTGGATACGCTTCCCGTCAGTTTCTTATAAACATTTAAAAAGTTTAAATTTTTCTAGGTATTAAATACAGGACCGTTTATTGATTATATATCTACATCTTTATCTTTAAGTTGATAAATGGTGTTTGGACATAACTTGTAAGATAATTGCATCTCGATGTTTGTTTTGTACATGCATCTCATGGATTCCTTTTCCTTTTAGGTTTTTGTTAGAAATTATATCCCAGCCTTGTTCTTTTTTACATTAATACCCGAATTGGTTATGATTTTTCGTTCAGGGAGTGGAAAGACATATACTATGCAACCGCTGCCCCTTAAAGCATCCCAAGATATTTTTAGATTAATGCATCACACTTATCGGAACCAAGGATTCCAATTGTTTGTCAGTTACTTTGAGATATATGGAGGAAAAGTTTTTGATCTCCTTAATGATCGGAGGCGAGTTTCTCAGACTTTTAACCATTTCTTTGATTAGACAAGATTTTCTGTAAGTACAACTCCCTAGACTTGGAACTCTACTTTTGCAGAAAGCTTTGCATGAGGGAGGATGGGAAACAGCAGGTCTGCATTGTGGGTTTGCAAGAGTACAGAGTATCAGATGTGGAGACGGTCAAAGAGTTAATTGAGAAAGGAAATGCCACGAGGAGTACTGGAACAACTGGTGCGAACGAGGAATCATCCCGATCACATGCTATACTTCAGCTTGCCATCAAAAGAGCGGTTGATGGCAGTGAATCAAAACCTGCTCGAATCATAGGCAAGCTATCTTTTATAGATCTTGCTGGAAGTGAACGTGGTGCAGATACTACCGATAATGATAAACAGACTAGGTAGGTTTTCATATATCTTATTTGGTTTCTAAACATTATAAACTTATTGTTTGTTCTATATTTCATTAGAATCGTTTTTTTAGTACAAGTAGATGTGGTGGATGGATAAGTAAAGGCTGATTGTAAATATCTGTTGCAGAATGGAAGGTGCTGAAATTAATAAAAGCTTACTTGCTTTGAAGGAATGCATTAGAGCTCTTGATAGTGACCAGGGCCACATTCCATTCAGAGGAAGTAAGCTGACTGAAGTTCTTAGAGATTCATTTGTTGGTGACTCACGCACTGTTATGATATCATGCATTTCACCAAGCTCAGGGTCATGTGAACATACTCTCAACACACTAAGATATGCTGACAGGTAATGTTGTTTCTGACAATGATCTATTTTGATAAGTTAGTTCTCTTTGCTTGAAATATTCTAATTGATTTACGTTTCAGGGTTAAGAGTCTATCCAAAGGAAACAGCTCCAAGAGGGATCCATTGTCTTCATCCTTAAATCTTAGAAGCTCAACTGCGTTGCCTCTATCTTCAGTTATTCCGACTCTAACTGCTTCTGAGGATAACGTAATGGATCTTACTCATGAAAGTAGCAGGTTTGGATGGTCCAAACAAACTGAAAGGGAGCCGTCTCCATCTTTTAACATAGAACGTGTTCCTAGTGGAAGGGCACAGGGCAATTTGGCCTCATCTGCATTTACTGATAGTTTCAGGAGTCAGAGAGCTGGTCAAGGTAACATAACTGAAGATGATTTAGATTACTCCGATAAGAACTTTGAACAAGACAAACCATCATGGATGATGAATAAAAAGGTCGAGTCCTACCAAGGATCAGCCTTAGAAGAAAAAATGAGTAAGACTGGCACTCAGAAAATGCGAAGAGATCTGCCATACTTTGAGGTTAACAATTTAAATTCAGACGATGATCTTAGTGCCCTGTTGAAGGTAACAGTACTGTAAATTGCTTGTATTGATTTTTGTAAAGGTATATTGGACAATTGCTTAGTAAAATTCTGCTTTGCTTGATTTTAGGATGAGGAAGATCTTGTCACTGCTCATCGGAGACAAGTGGAGGAGACGATGGATATTGTTAAGGAGGTTAGTGACCATCTACATTTGGTTCATCCATTTTGTCTGGAAGATGACACTTCGATTTAACTTTCATTGATTTATGCAGGAAATGAACCTGTTGGTTGAAGTTGACCAGCCAGGAAATCATCTAGATGATTATATATCTAGGTTGAATGCTATTCTTTCACAGAAGGCTGCAGGAATTCTGCAGCTGCAAACCCGCTTAGCTCATTTTCAGAAGCGTCTGAAAGAATATAATGTTTTAGTTTCTTCTTCTGGTCATTGATTACATCCCAAAAAATCTGGTCATTGGAACGTGTCAAGCAGCGTTGTCACGATTCATTTCTTTCATGCTGAGGACGTGTGGCGGTATGGGATTTTTTTCACCCTGTTTTTGATTGAGTATATTTCGACATGGGTTTTTGGATTGAACTTTTGAGGCTTTCACCATTGAGGTTTATTTCTTTTTCTTCTGTATTGTCACTGTATTTCAATATTTAATCACAATGCTGTTGTAAATTACCGAAAACTCATGTGTCTGGCATCCTCTTGTAAACCTTTGATGCATTGTCTTTTCTTTTTGTTACCATGGAAAGCTTTTAGGAATGCCAAGTTATGTGTGGATTTTCTGAATCACCCAGTTTTCTCTATGTTGATCTGTTTCCTTTATAATTTCATGCAAATTATGTATTCCTTAATCAGTGAGAAATTGTTGTACTTTGTGGAATTACTTGCCTCAAATTAATTTTACAATATTCACTTGTTATTTGCTATGTTTCCTCTATAACACTTTATATGCATATCTACTTCAAATCTTCTACAGTTGGAGGAAACATATCTGGTACGAACCTCGGTGGAGGTAGGGTGTGAGTAATTGCTTTAACTTCCAAATAAAAAAAAAAAAAAACATATCTGGTATAGAATGTGCTGTCTGAGAATATACAAACATGAGTTTGTGACCTTACAAAGGCTAAATTAAGGAGCATAGACAAACGGGCTCGTGTCCCTGATGTCTATAGAAGGCCTAACGGTTTTAGCCCAACAGGCATGAGCTCTTAGATTGGGCCCGGTTTGCAAGACAATAAGGGTTTGGTTGCTGCAATGCACCAGGTCCTACAGAAGTTGTGGTGGGCCAACTAAATTCCGCTGAACTTGATGGTTGATATATTGTTCTAACTTTTGTATATTGGGCTGAAATTAATCCATTCAATTATATTAAAAAATTATAATAATCTGTTCAAATATATATATATATATATATATATATATATATAACTGGACCAAATTATTCAATTTTTCTCTGTTTTTTAACTAGATCACGTGTTGCAAAAATTCATTTAAATTTGTACAATTTGTTTTTCATTTTCCAATTTCTTTCTTTCAATAAGCAAATGATACTTAAAGTCAGTTAATTTGGAACCAATTAATTGATTAATTTGAGTTGACTTGATTCTTTTAAGCAACCAATTCAGTTTTAAATGGTGATTAAATCAAAGTCGTTAGAACACCAAACTTATTTTCTAGGGTTCCCATGTACTATGTCACAGTGGTAATGACGAACAGCTAGTGAAGTTACTAAAATATAATTGATCTAATTAAAGGCCGTATCTATAAGATAGTGCACCACATTTATACCTAGGTAGCTATTCTCATAGGGTAGTTAATGATGACGAATTAGTCAAATATGTGTTGCTACAAGTGGGTATCACAAGTCGTTATCTTAATTAAAAAATCATTGGTTGACCTGAAATGTTATTTGCATTTCTCAATTATTGCTTATCAAACTTAGACCTTAAGAAAACGCATGATCAGTATTAGATCTTCCACACCCTTACCGACCAATCAGAGACCTGTGTTTGCTACATTACTGTTAATTCTGTAGTCATTAACAGACAAAGTTGGAAGTGTCTCGGCCATACTAATCCTACGTACCCATTATTATATGTTAAAAGTTACAACTAGCGTGATTAACATGTAAGTGTACATATAAAGATGCCCTTTTAATGATACACCAACATATTGTCACATATTTCTAGGACTCTAGGGTGCAAGATAACGACTGTCCGATAGCAACAACAATAACGGACCTCTAATATACCAGCATGATTAAGGTCTATGTGGACCTCTAATATTATAAAATATGATACTCGATTAAATTTTTTTATTTTATTTAGTCATTTAATATATTTGAATCAAAATCAACACTAACACGAGAAATAAGTATAATTATTCTTTTAATGTACAAGACAACATAACATATGATACTGACATTTGGTCACACCTGAGTTGGTTGGGAAAGTAAATATTGGTTGGCAAGTCCCAAAAAAAAAAAAAAAAATCAAAAAAAAAATATTGGTTTGCAACTGGCAAGTGACCTGGTAGCCAGGGAATTAAATTCATTTAATGTTGAAACATTGCCAATTAAAGAGCATTATGCACTTCCACACCAGAAAGGTCGAGACGACCTCACACTTTAATTAACGAAGGTACTAACTTAGATGTACAAGATTCGAATGATATATATATATACCTTGAGCTAGGCGGCAAGTATGGTTAAATAATTAAAAAAGTTGCAAATTTGTGAATAAGTCATATTTTCTCTATTTCTCAAAGTGAATGTTGGAGTTTGAATCTTCAAAGGAGTAAAGTAATTTGCTTAAATTTTTTTACAATGTAATTGAAATTTTAAGTTAATGACAGTGACATGCACCAGTGATTGATGTGTAAAGCTACTATTATAAACATGATTGTTAAAATTCCGATTTTGAGTCTTAGAATCGCACGATTCTACGATTCAAAATCCATAATCGATCCAAATCTTAGCAAAATTGTTTATTTTGTAGAATCGTACGATTCTACACGATTCTACAAAATTAGTTGTTTGGGCCTTTATTTTTGGGTTAGTTCCTTTATTTTTGGGTTGGTTTCTTCTGGACTACAAAATAAAAGAGGCCTGGCTCAAGTATAGTATACAAAGTTAAATATTTATTCTATAAAATATAAATTATCTTTCATTAGTGGCAGAAAAAGAAATATATATATATATGTATATATATATATCAATTTGTTCCATAATATATTTTTGTGTTTAGTTATAAAAAATTAAAATGATCAATTATATCTCAAGGATGCATACTCGTGGCTAACAAATTTAGGCAAATTTTGGTTTTATGATCAATATTTTCATTTAACTAATTTTATTTTATTTTATTTTATTTTTATAAATTAAGGCGTATCATATATATTAAAAATTTAAAATAATTTAAAAACTTAGAAGACTTGCCGGATATGCTAGTCAAGATATAATCTTGTAGTCTAAACTGATAGTATAATGAAATCGTTTTAACATGTGGTTCATTAATTTTGTTTTGCTAACTTTTGATTAATTTCATGCTTGTGACTAATAAGGTCACTCACATGCACTGTAAAACTTAGATTGGTGGACAAAAAGGTCTTTTTATTTCTTCACCTTTCGAAAAGAAAAAAAAGAAAAGAAGGAAATTGCATTGGGTTAAAAAAAAAAAAAAAAAAAATCCTTTTGATACGTAATTTTAGTTTCTAACTTTAGAGATGGATGAGTTAGGATTTGAGATTTGTGAACTCATATTATTTTGAGCTACATTCTCTTTATTTATATTCGGATTTCGAAATATTGTTAGGATTTGAGATTTGTGAACTCATGGATATGTAATATTATGTGTTTTGACCTTATTTTTGTTATATTTTACAGGTCTTATTATTTAAGAAGTTAGCTTTAATTATTTTTTCTCAATTTGATAGAATCTTACAATTCACGATCTGATTTTACGATTTCGATTTTATAAAATCTAAGACGATTCTACGTAGAATCTCGATTTTAACAACCTTGATTATAAATGAGATATACATAGATATGGAAATTCAAATTTCAGTGACATGGATTTTGGTGGGTCAGCGATATCTTGACATTCTGCATCTGCATTGTTTCATTTTATTTCATTTTTATGAGTACATATATATGTGTGTGTATTTAAATTATTTTAGCATGTCCTAAATTTGATTGGTTGAATAATGAACTAAGATATATAAGAAGCAGACTGGTAGGTAAGATCCTTTGTTTAATTAAGAATTGGTGGCCCCCTTTTTGATTTGGGCAATCAGTGTATCTTCCTTTGCTTGGAGAAGAAAAATTAACAAGAATAATTTATTTATTTATTTATTATTAATTATGTTGATTTAAAAAAAATAAATTGTTGAGAAACTGATGGTATGGAGGCTTGCATGGAAACTCCACCTAATCTCATTAATTTAAGCCATTAAAGAAATAAAAACTTAATTGAAACGTCATTAATATATACGCGGCTGAATAGAATTGGAGTATTTGAAGTTTTCTCCACCTCCATTAATTTTATTTTTATGTAACAAAACATAGCCTAATATATATGAAATCATGTATTCAGTATGATAATATAGCCAAATATAAATGTTAAAGCTAAAATCTTTGCAAATGGATTGCGCCAAAAATACAATGTGATAAAATATATCAATTAGTATATACATACATACATACATACACATATATATATATATATATATGACCATATTTGCGTCTATATATTGGTATAATTTAAGTCATGTAAAGCGAAAGATAGCGAATTCAAGAGTGAAAGCGTGAGAACGATAAAATTATGTCATAAGTAGTGAGAATTTGAGCGAGAGCGTACGCAGAACGTTAAAGCGAGAGTGTATTCGAAGTGTGACAGCAACGCCTGTTGAAAAGAATGGTAGGACTTAAAAGGTACAACAACTACAGTAGGTTATATAGTTAGTATATAATGGTATAACTATAGCTGCTATAGTTGAAGAAGGAAGTGGAAATGAAATCAAGCAATGTATTGACCAAATAAGCATGTTTCCCACTCCCCGGCACTACTACAATTTTAAAAGAAGTGGCGTCGTGTAAAAAATCTAAGGTGCCACATTTCAAAACGTCAATTCATGCATCAACGCCAATAGAGAGAGGGCCTAGCTCAAATGTATAAATGACATTATTATTACGTTGAATTTTATGTAATTTTCACAATTTTTTTTCATCAATTGTTATATACTCTTGTATCAGCATCCTCTAAGTATAGAGGTAGTCTTCTTTCGCTGTTTTCCGAATATAGAATTGAGATTATATTCCGAAATTAAAGTTATAAAATTTAAATTTATAAAAAAACAATTCACAAAATTATAATAAAATTTCTTCAATTTCATCAATTTTTATTCCAAACAGTGGCCGAGATTTTTTTTATTCGTAACCTTTTGAGCAAACTTATTTAAGGAGGAATAAAGAAAAAGAAAAAGAAAAATCTTTTGAAGCAACTTTAGCAAACCTTAGCTTAATTACCGATCTCACAGTCTGACCATTCTGATATGTTGTTACACGTGGTAGATGGTAAAAGGTGCCACGTACGTAAATAATTTGAAATTGATGGCTCCACTCTCGTTGTCCGCGCGTGGAACTTACACACGAACTTGGAAAATATCTAAACCTCTACTGTACGTGACTCAAAAAATATCAACCGCGTCGTCCCCACCTGTTACTGTACTTGACTCCCTTATAAATTACCGTGTTCCCTCCACTAGATTGAATGCATTCACAAAAATCCACACAACAAAACCAAAACAAAGGAAGAGGCAGTGAGTTGCAGATAGTCAGTGTAACTCTTATGAGATGGAAGCTAACAACGTAATCGCACCATTCATTATGAAGACTTATCAGATGGTCAACGATCCGACGACCGACGGTTTCATCATATGGGGCAAAGCCAACAACAGCTTCATCGTAATCGACCCAATAGATTTCTCACAAACAATCCTCCCTGCATACTTCAAGCACAACAATTTCTCAAGCTTTGTCCGTCAGCTCAACACATATGTAAGTTGTATAAACACAGCATTTATATATACTTATATAATTATGTATATATATATAGTTATATACTACACACCTCACCCTTATACTTTGCAATGGTCAAAATCTCGTGCACTACACTAGCTCTTTTTATATATGCAACAGGGATTCAGAAAGGTTGATCCGGACGGGTGGGAGTTTGCGAACCAGTGGTTTCTTCGTGGACAAAAGCATTTGTTGAAGAACATCACAAGGAGGAAGCACAGTAGGGTTCACAAGCATGGAGAGGATGATGAGGAGGAGGAGAAGATATTGATGACGGAGATTGAGAGGTTAAAGAGAGAACAGGAGGGTTTAGAGCAAGAGCTTGAAGGCATGAACAAGAGGTTAGAGGCAACGGAGAGGCGCCCACATCAAATGATGTCGTTTTTGTGTAAAGTTGTGGATGATCCGGACATTTTACCACGTATGATCCTTGAAAAAGAGAGCACCAATGGGTTGACTGAGAAAAAGAGACGTCTTATGGTATCACCATCACCGTCATCATCAGCAATGGCAGTAACAAATTCAGTCAAGAGAGAAGATGAAGTGCATGGTGCAAACCTAGGGGTAATTTCGTCAATATCTTCACCAGACGCTAATTTCGGCATCGACACGTTTTGCTCTACGGCGTGTTTGAGCCAAAGGGAAGTTATGGGTCGGCCACTAATCACTCAAGAAGGTTATAACTACGCGGCCGCCATTCCTAGCCGGGCTTTGCCGGCTTCTGCTGCTGCCACAGTGGGTGGTTTTATGGTGGCGTCACCGGTGAATAATGTTTCACGGTGTGATAATAGTGGTGGAGATATGGGTTATAACTTGGCAGCAATGGCTAGTGGGGTGGAGGAGAGGCCACCGCCTTATCCATTCTCACTGTTTGAAGGTGGCTTTTAGGTGCTTCACAAGATTTATCATGGATTCTATGTTTTGTGTAATTTATTTGAATTTCTTTCTTTTATAGTTTTTGCATTAGTCTCTGCCCATAAATTGTTGTTCTAAAGCGAACAGATTTTTCATGTAAAATTTTATATTTTCTATTGTTTAATTGAGACTTTTAAAATAATATTTATCTTAAAATATTTAGATAATTAAAACTAACAATTTTAATAGTCTTAGGTCATTTTATTTTTGCACCTCAATTTCAACTATATCTAAGTTCAATTACCATAATATCTACTCATTAATTATTAATAAAATCTCAATTAGTCACTCCCATCATTCATTGTATCATTTTTATTTATCATTGTTTCTTTTTCAATAGTCTACACTCATATTACTTTCTGCGTCCCTGATTAGTAGTCTATTTTTCTCTTTTTACATGTCTCAAATTGGTTATCTTCTTTGAAAAGTCAAAGCATCTTTTCATTATATTTTTATCATTGTCCTTTATCTGTTTAAAAAAATTTCAAACTTTGTAATTATATATATTTAAATTAAAAAGGACAATTTGATAATTTTAAAAGAAGACAATGCATTAATTGCATATCTCCTTAAAAACTCTAATTTTTAAACATGAATTTTTATTTAGGAGCAGAGCTTACTTATTAGATGGTCATTTTTCAAGATTATGTGGACGTTATGTGTGTAATAGTTGTATTAGAGGCAGGAGATTGATTTCCAATTCGCACCATCTGAGTTACCAGTTGGATGGACTCTGGCTGCAAATAAGGTTATTTTAGTCCGAAGAAAGTTTGTTAAAGGATGACTGTATTAGGCACCACAGTTTTATCTTACCTCAATTTGTATAATTAAAATAAAATGTTTATATTGAACTAATATATATATATATATATATATATATATATATATATAGGGTTAAGTACAAAAAACCCCTCCGGATATATAGACTTTGTATAGAATAAGTCCTTACTTTTTGAAAAAATACATGCAAGTCCACAAAATTCAAAAAAGGTGCATAACCAGTCCCTCTGGCAATTTTTTACAAAAAATAAAACTTAAAACCTCATTTTACCCTTTTGTTCTCCATTTTGCCCCTCACCATTTGTGCATAAAAGTCCCTTAGCATTTGTGCAAAAAAGGTTGGTGGACTATACCAATCAATTGTAGACAGATGTGATAAAAATTATTTTTATATTCCACACCTAACATGCTTACACCCGCACCTAATCATTTCCCTCTCTCATCCCCTCTGCATTCTCTTTTCTCCCTCTTTGTATCTCACCCTCACCTTTGCAAAACCCAGATCAAGCAAAACCAAAAAACCTGATCTCTCCAAACCCATGTCTCTCTCTCCTCTGCCACCGCCGCCACCACTACCGCCACCATTATTTCGTCTGTTCATTCTCTCTCTTTTATATACACACAAATGTATTACAGACACATGCAATTGCAATCCAATCTATACCCTAACCTTCCCCAAATTAATCGTAAAATTTCTCTGTCCAAACGAGTGGAGACCCAAAACAGCAATCGCCGACATGTTGGTTGATGTAAAAGCTGATGTGAAAATTGAGAGCTCACATGTTGGTTGTACAGATAGAATCCAAACCAGCCCCAGCCTCATTGATTGTGAAAACATAGCACAAACTTTGTGTCTTTGTCAAATACAAAAAGTATCTCTATAAAAGCACAAGAACATATATATAGAGAGAGATTGATTCCATGCCTTATCTTTTCAATTTCAGGTAAACAAATGAGAATTGAAATAACAAACAAACCCTAAAAGATCTAACAATGGGTTTTAAGCATTAGGGTTAGCTCTGCTGCATGACTAATAAGAAAAAAACAGAAAAAGAAACAGTAGATTCGCATATTTACAAAACCATCTAAATTGTCATGTGAGAATGCCTGAACAAAAAGCTGTTAGCTCTCAATAAGTCATCTCTCGATAACTCCGATCTCGGCCTGTTCCTTTAGAAACTTGCGCGTGATACAATCGTCGGCGAGCCCAAGCGCAAAACGGTGTCATCTTTGTCGGCGGAGGAGTAAGAGCACCGGAAAAAGGTGCTCCGGGAGCTCAATTCACTTATTTCTGGTTCCTGTGCTTCTCCGGACAAAGCTGTTGACGAAGAAGTTTCCGATACGAAGTGGTTCTTTCTAGTGTCAATGACTTAGTCGTTTGCTAATGTAAGTGCTCTTCCGGGTCAGGCTTTCTTCAATTCGGCTCCGATATGGGTCGCCGGAGGCGACAGACTCGCCACCTCACCCTGTGAGCGAGCTCGGCAGGGACGGGTGTTTGGGTTGCAGACCATGGTGTGTATACCTTCTGTAAATGGTGTAGTCGAGTTGGGTTCGACAGAATTGTTATTACAATAGTTGGATCTGATGAACAAGGCTAGGGTTTTGTTCAATTTCAATAGAATCGAAATGGGTTCTTGGTTTGATTTTCCGGCGAAGGTTGATATTGGTGAGGTGATGAATTTGGATTTGAAGAGATCGAATTTTTTTGAATTTGAAAGGGCATGTTTGGTTTTAGATTTAATTATATTCAGGTTTAGGTTATACAATTTGAGATTTATACTTATACTAAACAAATTTTATTTTATATAAATTTGAACAAAATGGTCATTTTACATGGCCTTATTTATAATTATTAATTTATTCAACTGAAGTGAGGGTATTATTGTCATTTTACACTACCAGGGACCCAATCGTACCAAATTGATAGTATAGGGGGATTTTTTACCACATATGGACTGATATGCACTATATCGATAGTAAAGGAATTTTTTTTGCATTTAATCCATATACATATATATGTTTTTTTTGCACTTAATTCATATATATATATGAATAGTTATGATTACGAGAGTGTCTAATCATCTTTAGAATAGGCGAGTCTTTGATAAATTACGATATTAAATGGACAATCTAAGTGGAAGTGAAAATAGAGTATAGTGGTTATGAAATATTGATAATAATGAAATTAAATATTGATATATGGTAATAAAATTTACTCAAATATGTAAAAAAAAAAAATACTATAATTACTTATTAGATGGATTCGTCTATGTCGGTAATTACAATGTGCTTGTGATTGACTCTTATAAAAGTTGCAATCTATGTCGGTAATTACAAAGTGCTTGTGATTGATTCTTATAAAAGTTGCAATTAAAGTATAATAACTTTAAATTATGTTACTAAAAGTCAAACTAAATCTCCAATAATTCAAACAATATGATTCTTAAAGAGGAATCAAACCGCCTAAATACTACACTATAAAATGTATATATTAATTTATTGTCCATGATTTGATTGTTTGTTTCAATTGTTGATGGTCCAATATCTATGAGATCTTACTTTAATTAAACCTCGTGATGACGACAAATTAATGAGAGTGACGATCACGTGGTTCCCACCTTTAGTTCGTTCATGATAGACGCGTGTCATATGGGACCCAGATTTGATAAAAAGAGATATGGGGTGGGTCCCACTTGAGAAGACAAATCTTGTCTTTCTCAGTTTTGTGGGGGCCAAACCAAGGCTTGTTCCACGTGGGATTACAAATTGGGTTGTACACGTTTCGCAAGAGGAATGGAATGAAATGTAAGTAAGAATGGAATGCGAATGAAAATGAAATAGAATAGTCATTCCCATTCTATTATTTGATTGTAAATATAAAATGTGTAGGAATGGAATGATAATAATCATTTTAGTGTTTGATTGGACTAATTTAAAATTTAAAATGAAATAAATTTTAAATTGAATTCTCAAAAATATCCCTTTTAATAACAAATAAATTAAATTAACAAAATGATATTCTTTAATAATTTTTTAAAAATAAATGGTGGGAGGGGCGGTGGTGGATGGTGATGGAGGAGGAAAGCGGTAGTGGGGTAGGTGGTGGTGTTGGAAGGCAGTGGCAGTGGCAATGTTGGAAGGAGGTGGCGACGGTGTCAATGTGGGAAGGCGGCGGTGGCGGCGGTGGAAGGTGGCGGTGGTGTACGTTGGTAGAAAGTGGTGGCAGTAGCGTCGTGGTGGTGGTGGAAGGAGATAATGGTGTAGGTAGCAGTGGTGGAAGCCAATAAAAGTTACTGTGGTGGTGACTTGTAGTGGTGGTGGAAGGGGGTGGTGACGATGGTGGTGGTGGAAGGTGGTGACGATGGCGGTGGTGGAAGGTTGAGGTGGTGGTGAAAGGCAGTGGCGGCTGTGGCAATGGCGATGGTGGCGGTAGTGGAAGGTGGTGACGATGGCGATGGTGGAAGGTTGAGGCTGCTCAGGTTCATGATTCATGAACAATCTAACTAAATAATAAATTGATTTAAATTTTATACTTAGGTTCTATACCTAAAATTAAATTTAAGTTAGGTAGAGCTTAATTCAAATTTCAGTTAGACAAAAAGAAAAAAAAAAATAAATTCTATATCCATATCATATCACATAATATCCAGTTGACCCAAATAAAAAAGTATCTTCTATAAAAGATTAGTAACCAACCCTTCTAAAAGAGCCCAACTCAAAGTTACAGTTCAAATTGGATCAAATTGATTTAGATTTGAATTGGATCTCGACTCAAACCCATGCCAACTAAGGTTTCTAAGCTGGCCCAGCTTGCAGCATTATTTGTCAAAATTATTCCTTTGAATGTGATATGTAATATATATATATATATATATATAACCCAGATTTGAATTAGTATGAACAAATTTTGTCTTTTGAATGATATGAGTTTTTAGATGGAGGGAAAAAAGTTAGAGAATAGTGATAATTATATGAAAAGAGTTAATAGTTTTTTTTTTGGGGGGTGATATTTTAGGCATAAGATAGATGGTTTTCAAATTTGATTTATTCATAAAGCTCAGTGTCAGATTCTTTGGTACTAAATTAGGAGTCACCTATCATGTACAAATGATGGGTAATACCAAATATTCTCATTTATCAAAACCTGTTTATGTGATTGTGAACCCTTTTTAATGAATAATAATAATGGGACATACTAAGTTGGATGGAAAAGTTGAAGAAATCATAGAAAAGGACCCTCCTAGTGTGCTTTAATTTAAATTTTGTTTACAAAAGGGAACACATTGTCATTATTCATGCAATCACAAAAATAATATATTGGGAAACAATTCTAAAAGAAGAATAATACTAAACAAGAGAAGTTTATGTCTTATTGTTGAAAAAAGAAAAGCACAAAAAGTATATACAAATAATATAAATATTCAAAATCTGATAAGTTTCCCAGTGTTTCTCTCAAGTCATCATTTTATCAGCTGTATTTTGTTCTTGAACTAATTAGTTGCGTACCTTTCAATACGGGCCAACCCAAAAGCAGTCTGTTGGGCTAGGTTTAATCATATCAATTTTGTGCTACATCCGCAGCTGGCCCAAATTGCCCTTTACATATGCAATATCATAGTCTTGACCAATCACAACTCCATTAGCAAGCTTGCATGTGGAGTTGTGATTGGCCATAATCATATGATCTCATATGTGTGCCCTCTTTTAATTAGTTGGAATAATGTAATTTCAAATCATATAATAATTTTTTCTTATTTTTGTAATGGGAGTAACATTTTTACTACAATACGACAAAAAGAATGGGGAAAATATATAAATAGGTATAATCTCGGAATTACCAGCCACATCCAAGCAATTATGAACAATATTACAGACAAATCTATTAACGAATGTAAGAAATCAAAACATAATACAAGAAACTACAATTGTAAACATAAAAGAAAAATAGGTTCATAAGCAAAAAGTTGAATTCAAACCAAATCTCGTGACCAAAATTAGCAGGAGGAATAGATTAGAACTTGGTAATTGGAGTAATATACAAAACCACCTGAAAACATGTGAAGCTAGCTCCAAATTTTTTCTGTTCTCTTCCTTAATTCAATTGAGGCTAATGAGAGAAGAGCCTACCAGTTCACTGGTCGGAACATTGGCCTTGAGATGTCATTGCTAGTTGATTCCGGCAGACTGAAGAGTTCGGCATACATGTCCATGAAAAACTTGTCAACAATGTCGAGATAGACAGGGCTTGTAAGGCGAGAATAGTAATGAAGAACTTCTTCAATGTCCAACACATGCTCTACATTGCTCTTGTCCATCATTTCCAATTCTTTTAGCTTCTGTGTCACCAAACAGCTCCTTTTCTCTTCCACACCTTTAGTACATGACAAGTACTCTTCTCTACTTCCTTCATACACAATCAACTTCTTCTTCTTTTGATCCTCTCTGTTTTCCTCTGCATAATTCTTCATGACAGGCCTTGCTTTCGAAAACTTCCTCAAGTTTTCCGGGAAAAGGGCTTTTTTAGGGTTTGAGACAGGGGATAAGAGTTTCTTCTTGCTTCTCTTTTTTGGCTTGTGCTTAGTTCTATCCCAGTGGTTGGTGAACTCCGTGTAGAATTTGTCCAATTCATTGTAACTTTGGCTGAACCTCATGTCGTCGAAGCCTCGGCTGCAAGAAAAGGGGTTGAAGGGAGGGGCTTTGGGAAGCCTTTGGTAGCCATCAGACAGAAAAGACTTGATGTTGTTTATGGTGTTTTGAAAGAACTTCTTGGTGTTGGAAAGGGAGGTTCTGAGCAACATTTGTGTTGTCTATTTGGCTTCTCTCTCTTGGTGTTCTCTGTGAGCTTAAATTTCTTTATGTAGATTAGAGCTATGGAAGCATTGAATTGAAGGTTTTTTTTTTTTTAAATGCTTAATGAAAAAAAGAAAAAGAAAAGAAAGATGGACAAAGACACGAATAGAAATCATTTGAATTGAGCCTTTCTCTCTTTTGGGGTTTACTTTAATTTGTTTAATTTCTGTCTTCACACGCTCCTTTGTTTGCTACCTTGCTTGATGGTTTTTCCCCACTCATATATATATATATGATAATACCAAAAAACAAAAAGTTGTGACTGCTTTTCAAATATACATGTTGTATAAGATACCTTCGTTGCTTTTACTTTTTGATGGTGGAGTTGTTGTGTTCCCTCTTTAGAAGAACCAAAGGAGCGGATATAAGGTTTTTCTCTCTATATTATGCAATCACATATGCGCAACGAATTTTCTGTAGTACAAAAGATAATACTATTCTTTGTCAAAAGTCTTTATTGTAACTTATGACCATAATGGAGTGGATGCGTGTGTATATCTCCTATACTTTGTTGGTATATATTATATTTATATATATATATGCACACACACACAAACACAGTTACAAGCAAGTATATTCGAGGCATGCTGATAAGGTCATTTGACATTCATTTTTATAAAACTACAAACTTATCAAAACAAATTAAAGAGAGTATACCGAGTAGAATCCAATGCTTGTGTGTTTTTTGTTTCATAAAATGATAATCAGACTCAAAAAAGAGATACACATCATTAATTCTGTCTGCTTTCTCTGTTCTGGTCTATGGAATTTACTGATACAGAAGAGAATAATCATACTACTATGACTCACTAGGATCCAATGCAACTAACAAAGAATTAGGCCTTTAACCATTTTTCTTGTATTGGGCCGGTTGTCTATTTTGCTTCACCTGACCCGAACTAAGGAGTAGTACTCATCATCTCTCACTCACTCATCATTTCTTTTGAGGTTATATGTATATAATTCAAAATTACAGATATTTTTCATTCTCCTCATAATATTCATTCTTAAACCCCATACATCTTTTCTCCATTCTCTCTTTCTAAACTTGTCATATCCATCTCTATTTGTAGAGTGGGTCTTCAAAACTCAATTCCTTGTTGGACAACTATTCCCAATTAGCCTACAAGGAGTTGGAGCATCTCCAATGCAAAATATTATATTTCCATTCCAAATTTATATTTTGAGAGGAGCTACAATGTTAAATGCTATATTTTTACAATTATGCTCCAATGATGTATTTCATCCAAAATACTATTTTTGGACATAACAACCATTCTATATTTTGAGAGCCCATTGGAGTATGTTATTTTCATCAATTTGTTATATTTTGAATTTGAGAGTTCATTTGAGAGCTACTATATTTAATAATACTTTTGACAATCTCAAATTATGAGAGATCTTTTGAGAGGCCGAGTGTCTTATTTTCATGCACTTGTTATATTTTGAGTTTGAGAGATCATTTGAGAGGGGATCGGAGATGCTCTTACCATATCCGTTTTTAACTCTAAAATAACATGTACAACTTTTTCCCAAATCTTCAGTCTTTTACTCAGTTTTCTGGCTTCCAAAATTGATTAAGAAACTATTTATCGCAGCTTTCTTATTATTCACTGCCCAAAATGGAACATGTTCCGTTTTGGCAATAACCAAAGCCAAAAGATTAATTCAATAAGGAAAGTGAGTTAGCACTCCATTTCGTTGGTACCATCCAACCGAATCCAATTCAATTGTTTACTTATTCAATGAATTCATTTTCAAGAGCAATCAACTCATTTTCAAACACCAAGTGGATGAATAAGAATCGTGAGAAAGTCTTTCATTTGTCTATGATTATAGACAATCCCACTAAGATTATCTATGGAATTCGAACCGAACTCTATTTATGATTCATTATTGCTATCTCATCGGTCCTTCTTCTTACTTATTTTAGCAGATCTCAATTTACGCTGAGCCTATTCTTTTCTTTTTTATATACCTTTTCATCTACAAATTTCGCATATTTTCACATTTAGGATTTGCATATACAACATGTACCACTGTCAAGTGTGAATTTCTTATTAGTTAGGTTATTTCTTATTGCTTAGGTATTTTGATTCAAAAAAAGGTAAAAAAGAAGAATTCGGTTGCGCCATATATATGAAAGAGTATACAATAATGATGTATTTGACTAATCAAATACCATGGTCTAATAATGAAGCATTCTAATTAGTTGATACTATTAGTATTTGTTGATCGAATGTCTACTCCGGGAAAAATAAGTCGTATGTCCGACCAACAGAAATAAATCATTTTATGAAATTCACCGAAACCCTTTTTCTTCTCAACCTTCTCCAAACTACTCTCTTTTTATAAAATTTTAAACACAATTAGTTAGAGGTCAAGACTTATCAAGAAATTCCTTAAAGCTGGAGATAAGAAATTTCTTAAAGGCCAAGGCTATCAAAACAAGAAATTACCATACAAATTACAACTTAAAAAGAAATTTAAAATTGTTAATATTAATAGAATTTCAGACACAGCCTAAGTCCTAACAGTACTACATATTCATTCACACACACACACACACACACACACACAGACTAGTAGTCCAAGCTAGCACAAAAGTAGTTTCTTTTGGCCTCCAGTCTGTCACGGCAACTCTCTACCTACTCCGCCACCGATAAAATACTCAATCCTCAACAACTTTTTAGGAATTTGGAGGATGGAATTGGCCGCATTGGTGGACTAGGTAACATTCCGATTTCCTTTTCGACTGACGAATTATGAAAAGAATTTTGGACCAACCTCTATTAACTACATACAAAAATATATCTATGACGTAGAGATTATAAATTAATTAATGGAATTACTAGTTATGAAGTTTCTTTTTATAATTGCTTTTTCAAGTATACAATTTTAAGCATGTAATTGTACTTCCACATTTAATTTTGGTGATGTTCTATTTTCTTTTACTTTCTATCTTTACGAACGATACTGTATTTTATGTCCATGAATTATAAGAAAGTTCAAAATTCATGGGAAATTTAATGTTAATTACTATTTTTATATAATGAATATATGCATGCACAACTATGTTATATTCCGATAATTAATGCAATGAAAGTATTTTTTTAGAAAAAATATTATTTAATACTATAATAAAAAAATTTAGAACAAAGTTAAGTAATTGGTACTTCAAAATCATTAAAGCAGTAGAAAGTATTATGTTATAGGATACAAGTTTCTAAAAATCAACCATGAATAGTTTCTTATCTCTTTTTATGCTTTTAGGTCCAGTTTGGTTAGAAAGAAATGAAAGGAAAAGAAAAGAAATTAAGGAAATGGAAAGGTATGATTCTTTGTGTTTGGTATAATTTTTTTTTTTGCAAGAATAAGAAAGGGAATGGAAGGATTTGGAGGGATCTTAAACCTTTATTAGTTGATTTTGTTATCTTTCAAAAATGAGAGGAAAAGAAAAGAAATGTTAACATTTTAAATCAAACTTTATTAATACTAATTTGTTTATTAGTTGATTTTGTTATCTTTCAAAAATGAAAGGAAATGCTAATATTTTAAATGAAACTTTATTAATATTAAATTTGCCATTATTTTTATGAAAGACAAGGTAAAGGTAAAGTATGATGATAATTTCTCAAAATAATTTTCTTCCCTTGCAATAAGTGGTTAACATTATCTTCACCATTTTTTTTTTTTTTTTTTTGCCAGGAGCTCTACCAATTAGAATACCCAATAATATGAGATGAAGTTTCAAATTTTGTTTTTTTTGTTATCTTCTCACAACTGAGATGGAGTGAATGGAAGGGTATGTAACAAATCAATTATTTTCTATTTAGATAATAAAACATTTATTTCATTTATTATATTTTAATAACATTATGAATATTATGATAAATCGCTTAACAATTTTACAGAGTAACCGATGAATTGAGTATGTTGCAGACCCCATATATAATTTGTACTCCTGCATAAGCAATACAGACAAACACAAACATTTAAAAAATAAAAATCCTTTTTTGAACATTTGAAAAAGGTAGTACTATTTCTCTTTATATTCTTTTGGCCCAAGTAAGGAAAAATAAATACTCATAAAATCCATCTTCACAAGAAACTGACCAGACAGTTTCTTACATTCTGTAACATTTTCCTTGGAAACAAACAAGCCATCCTTTCCATGGCCATCATCTATCAAGGTTGTAAAGGAAAAAGAAGTACACACATTGTCACATCAATTCAAAAGCAACAGAAACTGTCATCTTCTTTAGAACCCCAAAAAAAAAAAAAAAAAAAAAAAAACAACGACAACAAATAAAGAAGCAACCAAACAATAGCAGAGCAGGAAATTAAACATCAACAACTAATTAATTTGATTATAAGATCCAATTAGTGAGAATAATTAACCATTAATACAGTCAATATATAATGGTTTAAACCCTAAACTATTCTCAACTGTTTTTTTTCACCAAGACAACACACCTTTCAATAAGACCAGTTTGAGAACAGAGCATCCCAAATCTCAGTGTACACTTCAACGATGACCCTATGGTGATGATAAGAGTTTAGAGAGAGAAAGCACTGTAACAGATTCTCAAGATCCTTGGCTCCGAAAATCTCCCTTTCCACTATCATTTCCACCATTGAAGTCCTGAAATCATTGTAGGGATCACTCGAACACTTCACCACCGCAAAGCTGTCTTTAACTTTTCCTTGCAGTACCGGCATTAGACGCATTTCAGAGTCCTTCTGGTTACTTCTTCGCCTACTCGTCGCAATTTGGTGGTCACAACGAGCTCTGTTTTGGTAAAAAGACCGACCAGATGAATCAGAGGAAAGTGATTTTGAGGAGAAAAGTGTGGTCTCATCACCGTCGTCGTCGTCATCGCTGCTAAACCACCCATTATAATACTGAGCTCTCTCAAACTTTTGGTTCCTCAAATGGGTCTTCTTGTTCGTCTTCTTTCTTGATTTTTTCTCTTTTGGATTCGCTCTGAAACCTTGAGAGCTGTGGATTGTGTTTAGTGGCGTAATGGGTGATGCAGGTGGACATTTTCGGCCGTCCATATCGGCCGAAACGAGAAGAGTGTTTCTGCCTGATATTTTACGTCTGGGACACAAATCTTCGACGGTTTTGGACCGTTTCGGCCTGCAAATGGATGGACATGGTCGAGGTTTGGGTGAGAAGAGTTGGATCAAGTGGGAGTGGTTGTGAGGGACGAAGAGGGGTTGTTTGGTGAGATCGGATAAATTTCGGGGCCGACACGATCTGAAAGATGAACGGACCATGCGAGATATTCGCAGCTTGAATCGGTTTTCCATTGGAGAGAGAGAAATAGAGAGGAGAATATTGTGGAGAGAGAAGGATTTTGAAGACGAGGGTGGCGGAATTTAAGTAATGGATATATACAGCAAAGAAAGAAGTTACAAGTCTTGCTATTGACATTTTAAAAGGTTCTGATCATCACTTTTTGCTGGTTTTTGTCGTCTTCTCCGTTCTTATTATCAAGTTTAAAACTCAATTCTGGCTTAAATAACTTTATTTCTTCTTAAAAAACAAGCGTAAAATTACAATGACTTTTCTTATTATTTGTCATAATTGCAGAAATCTCCCCAATAATTTAAAAAAGTATTCGAATTTTATCCAAAAATGAAATTAAAGTGCACAAATCTCCCTTCTTAGTGACGGATCGTGAAATGTACTAATAGATTTGTCTAATTTATTGAAATACCCTTAAGTTGTTACAGTAAATAACTGTATTATCATTTGTATGTGTGTGTGAGAGGAGATGGACGAAGGATAATATGATAATTTTAATTTATTCAGTACATGACATTAACAAAATTCATCATTGACTTGCAATAGCATAAGGAAAGTCGTGTATGTTAGTTTCATTTTTAGGGCAGGTCCGAGTAATTTCTCAAATCAAAAGAGAAGTGTTTGTAATTAGGCAAACTATAGAGGAGGTCCGTGTAATTTATCCAAAAAACAAAAACAAAAAAGAACTCTACTTTTATTTAATTTTTATTTATTTTGGACATTTTCAAATCACCAAAGCTCATAGCCGTGACATTTTGGGCAAAGCTTCTAGCTCAATAATATAACTTTAATATACAAAAAGTGTTTAAAATTTAATTGTATTATTTAACAACTGCTCTTTAAATAAATTGAAAACTTAAAATTGGTGAATTCAATCCTTACCATGACGAGTTCTTGAGCATTGACATTCTTTTAAAATATGTAATGTGAGAAGTATTGCAATGCTCGAAGCGGAACTTATGGCACTAAAAACTGAAGATGTATAGAATACACATCTATCTCCATTTACTAGTTAGTTCTTTATAAAATTCTTGCACTATCACACCCCTTTCATTACAAAGTATATAGTAGTCGTGTCCCCATTTACAAGACCAAAATTAATAAATAATGTGTTCTGAATATATCTCTAACATGACGGTAAGAGAGAACAACGCTTGTTTGGTTTGGTCATTGGAACACATTACTTGTGGGAATATTCCATTGCATTATTTGTGAAGAATCATACCAACACTAGTCCTTATTAATTATTCTCTTCAAGTGAGCTCTTCTTAATCTACAATTTTTGAAATTGTGAGCAGTGTTAAATTTGAGTTGGAATGTTAGATTCAAATCAATTCGTCTCAGTTTAATGATTCATTCTCTACAAATATGACGTCTTACACTCGTAGACGGAATCAATTAAGGCCAAGAGAGGGCATGTACCCCCTCAACTTTTAAATCTTTGCATTTTTGTATGTATAAATTTTTAAAATTTTAAAATTATTCCCTAAATTTATTATTATTACGTTGTGCCCTTCTTGAATAGAATTTCTAACTACCCAACGTTCGTGCTGACACTTATAGTGAGGATACCTTCTAATTTGAAATGTCCCTCCTATAACCTGAGTTGGAAGATTAGTCCATTGCGAATTGATCTCTCCTCGGTCCATCCAGTCTCTTGGAATCATTTGTCGCAAGTATCGTCCCATGCTTGGAAATCGAAGTCCAATTCTGCTTAGACACATAAAATCATGAGTAGAAAGTGTGTGCAAAGTAACAAATGAGGAAATGGACTGCAGTCACTTTAAATCCATCATAATCAAATTTTATTACAGTGAGATTCGTGTTGAACACTGAAATTTCCGAAGTTTTGAGATGATACAAATGCACCAAAAGGACAACCACTACCAATTCTCCTCTTACCAAATCTGCATGTTAGAGTGTGTGTGTGTGTTTTTTTCCCGAAAAATCAAGATCCGCATTGAAGGACCAAGGCAATGTTGTCACCTTTCATGTGTCTCATTTTAGCAAATATTTTGTAGTACCCTTTAACACGGTTTCAACCTAATAGATTTAATTAACCATTGTCAACATACTCATGTCTTGTTCGAACTTCTTCAGTAATTAAAAGACAAGTTGAGTCTAGATTTAATTAACCAAGAAACTACTATATCTTGGAAAGTACTCGTCATTTCAATTACCAAAACTATATATAAATATGATCCTAAAGATCTCTCTCTCTCTCTCTCTCTGGAGCATCTTGAAGTCGTAGAGAAACATCCAAGAAAATACAAACAATCCAATGAGTGCAGGACTTGGCCTTTACATCAAACGTCCTACCATTAGCTAAAAGACAGTTTTTGTTAGATGGATTCAGCTTTAACAAGTTGAAATTTTAACATAACAGAGATTTCCTGACCTCTACTTTTGCTTTCTTCAAGTTGGCTCTGAAAATTTCAAACTCATTTCTTAGTTTGGTTTTTGGTCAATGACTTTAATTGGTAAGGTTGTACAAATGTATCTCACTTTCCATGTGAGGTCGTCCTTTGCATTGGTCATAAAATACGATATATATGTATATATATAACCATACGATATTTCAAAACTTTCATGTTACATAACATAACTCCTTTTAATCACAACATAATATTGTTGAAAGCACAAGACAAGGGCATTGAACCACACCATGAGCCAAGATTGTAAGAAAGTACTGATGAACCACTCTGGTCCTTAATTATTGTGTTTAGTTTTCAATAATTGAGTCATGTGACTAATGGCTAAAAATTTGAAAATAAGGGATAGCTACGCTTTTTGAACTTTCAGGGAGACAGAAATGGTACATGATTCAGACTGTCTATATGAAATGTTCCCTGTGCATATCTAGGAGCAACATCCCGAAATATAAAGGGTACCAAACTAGGTCACTGCATTACCAATTTTGTGGTACTATTATAGGATTTATAATTCCTGATATTTTCAAAATTTTTGAAATAACAAGTGGTATAATTGACTAGGGACGAGAGTAGGCGTTGACACAACAATAAGGTTATTCTATTTTAATTTGGAGGTCACGAGTTCAAAATTGAAAACAGTCTCTTCATGCGAAGGTAAGACTGCGTACATCTGACTCTTCTCAAATTTAGTAATGACAAGAGTATCGTGCACTGAGTTAGTCCTTTTATAACTGACTAAGGAGTAACTACCAAATTTGAGAAAGCGAACATCTTGGATCCATCCTCCTTCAGGCCAGCCCCATGGAATTTTACCCGGCAGAAATTATGGTGCCTCGAGAAGACTTAGTAATGCTCTAGCTTCTATTAGTTTGATGCTGAACACCCAATTTGTAATTGCTTTTATCTTTTAACCATGTTTTATGTCGAGTTATATTTGGTGACATAAATATATCTGTAAAATAACTTAACCCACTATGGTGATTGAGGTAAATGCGATGGCTTCAATTAAAATTGCATGCCCCAATGAAGTCTCTTGTTCTGTTGACATAGAAATTAAGTTGTTGGTCACCAAATCATTTCATGCGGGTGCCTTACCAGAAAGGAGTAAAACGGTTGAATCATATCATATGCCAAAGAAGGGTGAAATTGAGGGAGGTGGGGATGCTTAAAATTTGGTGTCTTTAGAGGTACAATTAGCGAAAATGGATTCCCACCCAGATAATAATCTGATACCATATAGTATATATAATGTGTTATAAATATATTATCTAATATTATAATATATAATATTCACAAATTATTATTATTATTATTTTTTTCCCTTCCATCTTTTTATTTTGTCTCCCGTTATTATTATTTTTCTTGAATGAAAAAGTCAAATAACAATCTTCTGTTGTTTTTTTTTTGTTTATTTATTTATTTATCTTCTGTGGCTACTCTTTTTTTTTTTTTTTTTTTTCCCAATCATGTTTGCTATATCTCATTTGACATCAAAAATTTACATCACTTTTTTAAAATTTACATCTTTAACAAATTGAGTTATTGGGTCAGATACCCAACTAATAACAAATTGGAGATGGATTTAGTTACAAATAATTCATCAATGTTCCTTATACAACATAATTCATCGAGTTCTTATGGTCTAGTACAAGAATGCAATAACTTCACTTTTCAATAATAATTAAGGTTTGGTTCAAGAATGCAGTAATTTCACTTCTCAATAGTAATTATTGTCTGAGATAATGATTGATAGAAACATTATATTCTGTTGCATGAGATTAATGTCTTAAAATTAAAATTAAAAGAATAAATTCCTTCTACAATTTTAATTCCAAAACATTAATTTCATGTAACCACGTTTATAATTTATCACAAAAAGCCCTTGTTCCATTAAATAGACACGGCTCAAAAAAATAATTTAGTTATAAATAATAACTATATATATATATATATATGATTGACACATAATTTTGATATAAGGTGAAATGGAAGTAGCATCAATCATGTGAGCACGACGGCTCAATAAGTTACTAAATATAACAAATTAAACCATTATACACAGCCGTCATGTCCTATAACTAGTGTTATAGACACCATTGCCCTTTTTTCAAACTTTTTGGATATCTGAACTCCAAAAGCCCAATCCTATTATCCAATTCACTCACTGTCGATTTTTATCACCATCTTTTTCCTTCTCAAAGAGTGCCCCAATCTCTTCCAACGTCTTCCCTTTAGTTTCCGGCAGCACGAAGTAAAAGAAAGCGAAAGCCACCACCATTATTCCACACAGAATAAAAAACATTCCCCCAAATGATATCGCATGAGATATGCTCAGAAATGTCATCGCCACCGTCCCACTCACCAACCTGTTCACCGATATCGCCAGGCTGTTACCCTGTGCCCGGAGCCTCGTCGGAAATATCTCCGACGTGTACACCCACGTAATGGGCCCAAGCCCAATCGAAAAGAAGGAAACAAACGTGCACACACACATCACACATATCACGATGGCCCATTGTGGCTTGTGACCAGCCTCGTGATTCTCGAGGAACTTCGACCCCAGCCCCAGCCCACCTAGTGCAACGATCATCCCGCCAGTGCCGATTAACAAAAGGAGCCTCCTGCCGTAGTGGTCCAGGAACAACGCCGACACCAAAACGAATGCGGTCTTTGTTAGCCCCATGATCACTGTGATCCCAACCAGCTGTTTCTTATGGTGAATTCCGGCCGACTTGAACACCTCCGGGGTGTAGTAAATGACGGCGTCGTTGCCGGATGCTTGCATGAAGAAGTTAATTCCGAGGGCGCAGACGAGAATCCGGCGAACTTGAGGAGTGGGCTTCCACAGTATTTCCTTCCACACCCTCATTCCTTTGGGTCTGCTAGAGGCATCCTCAAGGTCTTTCAGTATCTCGTCGTGTCTCAATTGAGCTTCTTCAGGGCTGCTGGAAACTTTTCCCAGAGCTTTCTTTGCTTCGTCTTGTCGGCCTTTCATGACGAGCCAGCGAGGCGACTCCGGCATGAAGATGACACAGATGCCGATGAAAAACGCCGGTATTGCTGCTATGCCAAGCATGATTCTCCAGTTCATGTGCTCTGGCAGTCCTGACAGTACATAGTTGAAAATGTACCCCAGAAGAATACCTAAAACAATGAACACTTCGGAGAGAGATGCCAGTAAGCCACGTGACGACGCCGGGGAGATCTCGGCCGAGTAGAGCGGAGCGATCATGAGCGAGTAGCCCACGCCAATTCCGGCAATCAGCCTTCCCGCCATCAGGAATGGATAAGAGGGTGCCAGGCCCATAAGGAGTGCACCTATCAAGAAAGTGGCCGACGACAAGACAATGGTGTATCGCCTGCCGATCGCATCGGATGTCGAGCCGGCGGCAAAAGATCCAATAAGAGAACACACATTGAGAGAACCCACCAATACCTCCTCTTCGACTCTTGAGATTTTCATGTGGTCCTTTATATAAAGGATCGCTCCACTCATCACTCCAATATCTGCACATATATAATAATAATAATAATAAGAAAAAGTATATATATATATATATTTTGCAAAATATGAAAAATAATAAATACCCTAAATTCGTACCATTATTCACTAATGTGTGGATCATTGATTTTAATAGTAGACAAATTTGTCCCTATCCATTATCCATAAAGAGTAATAATTTTAAGAACATTAAATCTTATAAAACTAAAAATAAAAATATAGAGAAAGAAAATTCATGTGCCCTGCAGACTCCAATGATGATGAAATCAAATTAGCAAAGAAACATTAATTTTATGTCAATAAATTTTTTTTCATGTAGATCTTTCCTAAAGCATTTTTTTTTTTAAATCTTGTATATTACTAAGTAAATTTGGAATTTAATAGCATTTTACCTTTTTTTTCATGGTTTCAGCATCTTCATCAAGTAAGATACAAGATCTCGAACCTATTGGATAAAATGCTATTAAATTTCAAATTTAGCCAGTAACATATATACTAAGCTTCAAACCCTTTCAAATTTACCCAATAACATGTAGATCTTTTTTTTCAAATCTCGTATATTACTAGGTAAATTTGGAATTTAATAGCATTTTACCTTTTTTTCATGGTTTCAGCATCCTCATCAAGTAAGATACAAGATCTCGAACCCTATTGAATAAAATGCTATTAAATTTCAAATTCAGCCAATAACATATACACTTAGGCTTCAAACCCTTTTAAAATAAGGTAAAGTACAATTAGATTCCAAATTCAAACAGGGTTGCAAGAATTGGTAGAATCCGAGTATTTTATATATAATATTATATAATTACATTGTAATGTGTACAGAATAATTATAGAATGAATATAAAGATATGAAGAAATTAAAAACACACCATAGCCCAAGAGAATGGAATTGGTCGAAGCCACGAGGGCGCAACAAAATGCATATTTGTTGAGACGAGGCTTCTTCTCTTGAATAGAAGGCTCTCCTCCTCCACCTCCTGGACCTGCTACGGGTTCAACTCCATGTGTGTTCTCCATTTGATGTGATCGGTAACTGGTTTCCGTAGAAGCCAATCCCTCCCTCTCCTCTACTGATCCAAAAGTATATATGGATCCGTAGTTGCTGATTTTTCTGTGGGCTACCGAGAGAGAGAATACCGGATGGTGAACGGTTTTGGTTTGGTCTCACAAAATCAAAGGATTAGCTGCTTTGCATGTGTGGTGAAAAGCAGCAAATTCCTAGGGAGGACTACTTTTACACGTTTATATCTCTCTATCTATCTATACGTGTATATATATATATATATATATATATATATATACTACTCTTCCATTCTATCTTGAAGAGGTAAAATACCCCATTTCACCCCTACTTAATTTTTGGTGTAATTTAGTTTTTATTAGAGACTACAATTAGAGAACATGAGTAATAACAACTGTTAGTAAATTTGAGAGGCAGAGAGGATAAAAAGAAGTATGTGTTGGGTGTGTACATAACGGTAATCTGTATAACAAGGGAGAGAATAGAGGTGGAGGTGCATGGAATTTATCCAAAATATAGAAATGGTGTGTCATGCTGACAAATTATAAAGAAGAGGTAAATACGGTTATTTCTGAGCAATTAATGCGTATATCCAAATCCAAACTCTTCAAAGTATATACCTTCATTCAAGATTTCTGAAATATGGGTCAACGGTAAATGACTCGTTTATCTTAGATTTGGATTCTTTCTTAGGTGTCTCCATCCTAATCTCTTTATGACATCATATGTGTAATTTTTTATTTATGTTTTATTTATTTTTTTATTTGATTTTTTTTGGGGTCTTGTTGTTATTGCTGTGGTGGCGAATCTATGTGTCGATCGTCAAAATACACACAAAGCACTTGGGGGACAGAATACATTCATTTTAATCTTATTTATTACCTACCAAGAGTTGTTAAACCTATTTATTTGCTTAAGTCACAATATTTATTAGTCACACAAGATATCTATGATTGTTGTAACATTTTTTTTTTTTTTTTTTTTTTAAAATCATATAAATATTTATAGTTGTAAATGAATCGAGTTGTGCATGATCATCTCGAGCTCAACTAAGGTTTAGACTATTTGGTAACATTTTTTGTTTTCGTTTTCGTTTTCAGTTTTAATTTTAAATTTTTTTTTTTTTTTTTAAGACAATAACAAAATGCGATTGGTAACTTTATTTTGACTTTTCATATTTCAAAACTTTTGAAATCTCTTTTCATATTTCCTTTGCAATTCTCAACTCTACAAATGTGAGCTTTGATTTTCAGTTTTGGTTTTGAAATAATGTTATTTTATTATTTTTCAAAATGAGAATTAGAGAAATGTTATTTTATTATCTTTCACAATTAGAGAAATGACATTTTATTATTTTATTATTTTTCACAATTAGAGAAATGTTATTTTATTTTTTTTCAATTATACTCATATAGTAAATAAATTTTAAAATATATTTTATTATGCTCGAATAGTTAAATTAAAAAGTTTATTTTATGATTTTATTAATTTTGAAATATATTCATATAGTGAATAAAATATAAGTTTATTATTTTTCAATTATACTCATTTAGTAAATAAAATTAAAAAATATATTTTATTATACTAGAATAGTAAAATAAAAAATGTTATTTTATTAATTTTCAATAATACTAAAATAGTAAATAAATATTATTTTATTATTTTTTAATTACACTCAAAAAGTAAATTAAATTTTAAAAATATTTTATTATACTCTAATAGTAAAATTTAAAATGTTATTTTATTATTTTTCAATTATACTCCAATAGTAAATAAATATTATTTTATTAATTTTCAACTATACTTAAATAGTAAATAAAATTTAAAAACATATTTTATTATACTCAAATAGTAAAATTAAAAGTGTTTAAAAAATTCAACAGTAAACGTTACCAAACATTTTTTATTTTGACAGAAATGATTGCACACATTTCTAAAACTTGCCATTTTCACATAAATGAAAGCACGTCAAAAATGAAAATCATAACGTTATCAAACAGACCCTAAGCAAATGGGCCAAGTTCGAGTTTAATTTGTTGTGAATATAGACTTGTGCAAAGCTAGTATATATTTGTGTACAAATTCATAAACATAAAGAGATAAATGTGATTGGATAAAACTTGCCTACTCACTTGTGAGTAGATCATAATCTTACTTTTTGTTTTTTTTTTTTTTTGTTTTATGTGGTCCAATTAAAAATGTTCAAATAGTGAGTAAATACAAAATTTGGAAAGTGATATAAATAAGGACCACATCTTTTTTTGGAATAAATTCAATTATTTTAATTTATTTCCTTATTTATGGCTTTCTAAATTTTATGTTTATATGGATAATCTATCTACTATCACTTATGAGTAAACAAGTCTTCTCGAATGTGATTTTGTATGACTTACCTATCAGAATAAATAAATTATAATGGAATACAGCTAATGTCCTCACCCGTTTGGTATGGAACGTTGATACACTAGAAACTAATAGATGGTTAACAATTGCAATCCAATCAAAACATATCTTCTATTTTTATGTTTTATTTTTTATTTTTTATTTTTTTTCATGTAAAGTGCAAAGAAATCCTTGCTATATATATATATTTAAAAAACGCCCAAAAACAACATCTCTCTCTATAATTTGATATTTTGTAAAAAATTGTCCCTAATCATCAATTTTTTTTTAATAAAAATTAAAAAATGCCTTTAAGAGCATTTCAAGTATTTCAGTTTTTAATTTTTTAATAAAAATTCCAAAAATCCCAAAATTTTGAAATTGGTGTTTAAATTTTATTTTTTTAAAATTGTCATAAGGGCTTTTAGATATTTCAGTCTTTTAAAAATATTTGTCATATGGGCTTTTAGGTGTTTCAGTCTTTAAATTGAATAATATTCTTTATTTGCTCAATTTGAAAAATGTATAAGATTTTTTTGAATACTAAGAAATAAAATATATTAGCATGTGTTTTTTTTTTTTTAAACAAAAATTATTCTATAAAATTTTGATGTGTAAATATTTTTTTGGGTAAAGTACAGCAACACCCTCTGAGGTTTGCCAAAAAGACACACAGAGGAAACTTACTCAATTTTTGGACAATGACACCCCCTTGTTAGATTTGACAGCCAAACAGATCCTAAAAACATGTGAAAAGTCTAATTTGCCCTACATCATTTGATTAATTTTAAAAGTAAAATATCAAAAACAACTAAATGACCTAATTGCCCTTCTCCTCTCTCTCTCTCTACTCCGGCTGTGAAATCGTCCGGCGAAGGATGAGTACGGTGGTGGCGACACAACATCTGCCTTTCGGCGGCACAACGTGACCAACATGTGTGGTGCTGCGGCAATGGCAAACCCTTGAAAAACCCAGTTCACATCCTCAGCGCTGGAGCGCCGTTGCCTGCGGCGGTGCTATTTAGACCGAGTCATTGGCTTTTGTAGTCACGTCTATAACGACGTGAGGGCCTACTTCGTCGATCACAAAAAAAGGATCTTGTCGTTTCGTCCGAGTCCCTCCGGTTTAAGCTCAGATCTCACTGGCCTCTATGGATGGTTTAAGCTCAGATCTCACCAGAGTTGCAGTTTGTTCGTCAATATGAATTGGGTTTCACACCGACCAGGATCCGTGTCGCTTATAGCATTGCCAAACTGAACTGTCGCCGATGATTTTGGGTCACTCGACAAGGTAGCAATTCTTGATTTCTGGATTCAAGTCTTGTGGAAGCTTGTTCCTGCCCTATAAATTGAGGCTCTCAGCTGTTTTTTATTCTGAAAATGGTGGCCATATATTAATTGAAATCTAGATAGGGTAACACTGTACAACACTAAGATTCTTCAAAAGATTAGTTAGGGTTTTTTTTTTTTTTTTTTTTTTTTTTTTTTTTTTTTTTTTTTTTTTTAAGGGGTTCATGTACCATGTGATTAGTCTTTTTGAATTTAGAATTTGTTTTCATCGGACCCTTGTGAGAATTATAGACTCTCTCAATCTTCTATATATAACCAATAAATTCATCTACATATTTTGTATTTAGTTCCTTCAGTGATCTAGATTCTGTGTATTTCTCGTTAATCATCACTGTGGAATCTCAATCTGTATTATTCCGTTTGGATCCTATGAATCCTGTTGTTTGGGTTTGAATTGTAACAAGTCTTGGTTTGGGACTGGAATTGTAAATCACTTTGGTTAGGTTTATTGAATTGTAAGTCAATTTGGTTTGGGTTTAGTCCGAATTATTGAAGCCCTTTCTTTCTTTCTCTCTCAATCTGATTTGAATGTGTGTCTATATGTGTGTGTATACAGAGAGAGAGAGAAAGAAAGAAAGGACTGTGTGTCGGGATATGTATATATGTATGTCAATTCATCACCATTGGGTCTTTGAGGGCGGAAATGTCAATTTATGGTCAATATAAAAGTCATAGGGCAGAAATGTCAATTCATTACCATTATGGTGTATTTGGCAACTTTATCAAACTTGATGGGGTATCTTTGTCCCAAAATGGGCTAAGTTTCATCTGTATGTCCTTTTAATAAATCTCAGGGGGTGTTGATATACTTTACCCTATTTTTTTTTAATTGGAGAGTTTTAATTGAATTAAACACATGATCTCCATCAAATAATTTTTGTTGACACACGGTAACTTTAGATTCATTTTCGATAAAAATAAAATAAAATAAAATAAAAAATAAAAAATAAAAAACTTCACTTCCATTATTAATATATTTGGTGAGTCAACTGTTGGACGCAGCAATAAAAGACAAGTAATTCCAAATCACAAGATTTTTACATAGTTCATCAAACTCAGAGCTACATTCATAGTGATACATAGTTCATCAAGGGCTACGTTCATAGATCATTATTTATTTTATTAGAGTCATAACCACACTCTCGCGAGATTGCCTTAACGGGCTACACGTCTCTACACCAATACTCCCAACAATAACCTACGTATCTATTGTCCAAATATGGTCTAAGTATACCTTGCATTATAGTATTACTATTTAAATATTTTGTAAACTTATAATGTGTGTGTATATATA